AGTAGTAGTAGTAGTAGTAGTAGTAGTAGTAGTAGGTAACCGATCAGCCTGGTGGTGAGGGAGAGAGTGTGGTCGACCCTCAGCACATTTCTTTTCTCACTAAAAACAATCTGATGCGCTTGAAACTATCGCGGTTGCCAACTGATGGGATAACTTGGATACCACAGTCGGCCCAGTGTGTATCTTGTTGTGTGGAGTGGCTTACTGCAGGCTGAGAGTCGGGCTCAATGGATTCGTCTCGGTGTGGCATTTATGGCGCTCCCGTGCAGGAGCCTACCTCGCGAGGTGTGCTGCTTGTACGCGTGTTGAGTGTTGGTCACGCCTGCGCCTCCCCTCATCTCCGGTCTTCTCAACTTGTCTTGACATCAAGTTCGTGTGTGGGAGTGCTTAGTGTGTGGGGTAGATCCGGCGAGTCTACTTTCAGTGTAATCCAGCCGCCGTCACCGCTTTGCTTCAGCTTGATGAGGCTTCTAGTTGACATTGTTGAGAGCGACTGCCGAATTGTCGTCAGTATCGTGCACCCTATCTGTTAGAAAACTGTCCTATCCCCAATTGTTTCGCTCTTGACCTAAACTTTTGAAAAAAATGTCTTTGCTGATAAAAAAAGGTTTGTCCGCTCACTAGGTTCTTGCTTTTATTCATCTGATCTTTCCAACTCTTACTTGAGTCCATCCTCAGAGATAAGAACGCCAACAGGCTAACAACCAAGAGTTACAGGAAGCAGGGGCCAATCACACACCAGTGAGTTCCAGAGGCGACTGCACAGGGCTCTGTATGCCGGCGCCAGAGTGATAAATCGATTGACCAAGTTGACCCAATTGTGGAAAAACTCAGGGCTTTGGTAGGAGTCGAACCCACACAGCAGAGCAGACTTTTGCGCAGCTAAAGCTTTGGTGGATTAATGGATTTTTCACCAATTTTCTATCTCAGGACAACATTTAGCGAGTGTTCACTTTCGGTAAATTCTCGTCAGGCTATATATTTACAGAGGAGGTTTAGATTTAAACAATCGATGGATCGTCTTTCCTTACAAGCGGAAGCCAATCAGAGCGCGGAAAGATGCAGGCAGTTATGTAACCCTTGACCATGCCAAGTTCGGGGCTTCCAGGAGGTTCTTTTGCGCGCACAAAACAGGCTTCCTCAACCGGATCGCGGTTGCTTCTGCTGTTGCTAGCAAACGCTGACCCAGGGGCTTTGAGCAGCTTGGCGAGACCTTGTAAATTTCCTTAAGGGCTTTGCTGGGGTCCACACGATGTCCGGAGTCAACCATGTGTGCAAAGATAGAACAGTTGATGCTTTTGGTTTCACCTTTGGCCAGCCATGCCCGGAGGTATTCCTGTATTCTTTTGGATAAGCGCCGACTCGTGCGACCGATATAACCTGCTCAACAGTAGCAAGTAAATGAATAGATACACGTAGAAGTGGTCTGAGGTAACAGCCTATCCTCACCCTCACCGTACAGGACCGGGTTGATAGAGACTAACACCCGAACTTTCGCTGCTGCGAAGGTTTGTACTACGGCTTGGTTGAGGTGTCTGCTTAGGAGTTTGCTTGCTGCATCCCCCATGAAAGGGGACTTTGAGGAATAGGGTCTTCTTTTCCACAGTGGGTTGGTGGGCTTTGTTTCCTTCTCCATCATATTCTTTATGATGAATCTGTCCGGATATCCGTTCTCTCGAAGTACGTCCTGGAGTTTCTGAAGCTCCATTTTCTATCTTTTTGTCGCCCTCTTCTTCTTCCCTCGTGATATGTTTATCTAGGAAAATTGAGTCAGAGCGGTGATTAGGTATTGTGCAGTATGGTCCTGTCGGCTTCACTCCCAGAGTGCACTGCTGACACACCTAGCCTCTATACGTTATTGTTTCATTATGTTCCCCCCCCTCAGTGTAGGTCAACTTATGCGCACCACTCTTGTGTTATCTTACCAGTTGCTGTCTGTGCTCTGTTTTTGTTGGACAGTCGTTCTGGCGGAAAACGGACGTCTGGGCAATTTGCCAAAGGTGTTGGACACCTTCAACCGGATTATGACTTCACATCGCGGTGAGGTCTCCTGCGTGGTGACCACGGCCAAGCCGCTGGACAAGACAGTGGAGCGCGAACTGATGACGGCGCTGAGTGGCTTCCTGGAACCGGGCCACAAACTGAACCTGCATCTCAAGGTTAGTCGATAGTTTACACTTTATGCTTCTGAGTAAGATGTATCTACGGTTACCTACGTAGCGTTAGGGGGATTAACCTAAGAAGGTGCAATTAAGTACTAGGATTCGGAGTGGAGGGTGATGCATGGTCGAAATAGTAGTCCACTCTTTTCAGGTGACTGGTCACCACGAGGGCCTGATTTAATTTGGAAGGAGAAAAGGAAGAGGGGGAAAACGGAGAGCACGTGCCCGGGCCAAGAATGCACACTACAGGCCTACCGTCGCCCACAGTACTTGCACTTGTTACGGCTGCGATTATGACTGATCTAGCCGGCCTCGAGTATGTCCCGGCTTATACCTCTCCATGCCTAATGATCCGTGGTAGCAGACGTAGACCATTCTGTTCTTCAACGCTGGAGACCAAATACCGAAGGTCCATTTCCTGGCGGACGAAGTCGAACCGTGCTCTGAGCTAAGCTACTCTTTGACGTCTCCAATTAGGCAACGCGATTAGATCGATGAATGTGGTTTTGGATATCCTTAGGATGTTGTCGCGGCAGTGTACTTCATTCGAAGGACGGTCCTCAAGTGGTTGCGGTCAAATACCACCAGTTTTCGTTCATTTTCCATGTGCATAGCCCAGCATTCGCAGCTGTAGAGAAGGACGACAGCCCGGATGGATGCATGGTACACGCAAAATCGCGTCGGGTCCACAGGCACTTTCTAGGGCTTGACAAAACTCGATGAGTGGTATCTATTCGGAAGACAATGTCATTCTTACTCTGTCCATTCAATAAAAACCTCACCTCCAGGGTATTTGAAGCTGTCTACTTCTATAAGTTGATAGCTACTAATCTGGAAAAATACCTTCTCTTGGGCAAGGCTGCAGCATGAAAACACTTTGATCTTCCCACGGTATGATTTGCTACAGGCAGATCTGAGACCGGAGGCTTGTGCCGAACTGTGTGTTAAGTCTCAGTGTTGGGAAACACCCCACCCCATCCCGTAAGGCCGATTCAACTGATCAGTTCTCAACCACAAATAACGGTTTCACCGTCAGACTAGAGAATCAGCTTATTTCGAAGTAGCAGCTGGCCTTCTGTGCTATCTGCCGCTAGTGCATACGCCAGTTGCCAGGATAAGGGAAATTGCAGTCTTCTCGGTTCTA